CAGAAGGTTAGCGCTCTGGCCTCGGGTATAATTTCTGACAAATTCCTCAGCCTCATGCATGGGTCCCATACCACATCATTCCTCGGACAGAATCCTGGCAGTAAAAGTAACTTGCTGCATGTAAACAGAAACCCCAGTTTAGAAAACAATTTCAAAATCTTTTATGCTTGTAATCTTTCTCCTCAGATCTCAAAAATACTCCTTCTACTTTCAAAATAAGTACTTACTACTCTCAGGTGAAGTGTTCTGATAAAGTAGCAATTGTTTTTTGTTTTTACCAATTAAGACCACAGGAACCCTAGGAGGTTGCTGCTGACACCTAGTGGCATCATTTTTTAAATACCAAATGCATTAAAAATGTGGCTCCCCGGAGAGAAAAAGGAGGGAACATACATATCACATACACATTTGCCAAGGCCAGTGGACATCCCACATTACAAATTATTACCTCTGCCCACACCACTCTGCCTGCAACACCCTGTTCCCCTTCCAAAGCACCTTAGTACGGCCACACTGGAGAAATAGGACCAGTCACAAGGGCTAAAGCCTTAGAAGAACCGATTCACTGAGAGTCCTCAGTCCTCTCCTAGGAATTGCCAGTTACCTGAGAACCCCAGTTCCCAAAGGCCCTGCCCCAACCATGCTAGTCCCAGTTTCATCTCAACTTCCCAACCACCACAGTCCCCTCCCAACCTCCACAACTAATGTTTAGGTACTTCCAGGGTCCTCGCCTAAAGAGACTCAACTATACAGAGCTGGGAATATGTAATTTCAGGCTTCATATCCACAAACCTGTGAACGTACCCTAGGAAACACTGAATTGGTGAATGAATGATTAAATGGACGAGGGAGGAAATCACAATGCACAATGCTTTTCCCATTGATTCTGATGGAAGATACACAATATCCTCCTAAGGCAGTATCTGCTCTGGGGCAAAAGGGCCCTGGCTGAGTAGCTCAGGTCAGGTATCCCTCCGATGACATGTGCAAAGTGGCACCACACCAGTGGGTGAGACAATCAGGCCATCTGCCTCTGGTGAAGGGAGCACGTTGCAACAGCTAAAAACTGTTTGCTTTATAAGTTAGCATATTTGAATTTTGACTTTATTCTCACTGAAAGATGCAATCAAGGGAAAGTAGACTCCCAAGGTGGTCATAAAGAATACAAACGATAGCTAAATTACAACTCTCATTATACCAGAGAATCTGTTAGTCATTAAAATATTCCTCCAGTAGAGCTGGAAATAGCTCGTTCATTTCAATTTCTCTCCTTCACTCACAAGTGGGAGCAAACGAGGATGACAGAAGAAGGATCTTCTTGACGATCATAATGAAGGGAAAAAATCTCTTATCCGTATGTGTACCTTTATAAAATGAAATTATACATGTACATACCTGTACACATGCACACATGGGAACTATTACAGAGCAACATGTGCAAATCAGTGTGGCAGGTACTGGGTGAGTGCACATGGGTCAGGGGAGAGAAACTGATGTAGAAAATGAGAAACTCCGGAGGGTCTGTCAAGAGAAGTTTTCAGGTTATGTAGACTTTGGAATAAGGGGGAAGGAAGACTGGCAATCAGAGTGGAGTTTTCGGGATAAGGAAATGATAAGAACGTTCAGGGTCTGCAATGGAGTTGGAGGAAAACAAGGTAAGAAAACAAGTGGGGAACTAGTGGGAAAACTTGAATATTGGCAGGAGATGAACATAGATAATGCTACAGTGTATAGTCTTAGGATTTTTTTTTAAATTTAAGAAAATGAATATCCCACAGAACCTAATACTCAGAAGAAGTAAGAATACAGAACAGTTTTGCAAATAGCAAAAATTATAAAAACCAGAAAGGCAAGTTCATAAAAATTATTGTAATAACACTCATGCAAATTGCTCCTTAAAAATTACTTTTTAATCATGTCTCCATGAGAAAATTTAATGTTTTGTTCTCTGACTTTCAGTTTAAATTCTCTTTGGGGGTGCATTTTGCCTGATATTGTAGCCATATTCCTGTAAAGTGTTGTGTGTAGCATCCAGGCAATGTGACAATTACATCACTCCTTTTATCACATGCCGTAGAAATGTTTGTAATATTCATTAAATTCATGGACATTAGGTTATGTATTAATCAACCTGCAAGTTTTGATGCGTTACTTCCCATTGTTATTAGTAGGCACACAATACATAATGTAAAACATAATTTGTGGTAAGCCCTTAAAATATCAGATTTTTATCCTTTTCATTCTCAACAGGTATTATTACCATGACAACACTTTATCCAGCCAGTAATAATAAATCACAGTGAAACAAGTCTCTAAACAATATTTTTATAACCTACATTTAATGCTCTTGAACGTAAGTAACCCCATACATTAGCCTTAGGAAAATTTATTTTTAGTTCTCAAATTGTGATTATACTACATGTAGATTTCAACCTAGAGTACTTCAAAAAAATTGCTGAATTCTTAATATCAATTAACAATTGATATTACAATTACAATTTCTTATAGAAAAAGTCAGATATATGTGAGAATAAAACTTAATATTCCTACATAATAAAAATAAATTGCAGACATGACATTTTCTTAATCAAAACTCAATCTATTTCCAGGACACATGAACCTATATAAAAACAGAACAGAATAACCATCTGTATTTTTTCACATAATCATACTAGATATATAGAAGGAAATTTTGACCTGACTAGTTAAAGCTGCCTCTCTCTGGGTGCCAAAATTAAGAATATTGTGACTAGTCAACATAAATAACTTCATATAGCAAAACACTATGTGAAGAGTTATTTAAGTGCCTCTTTTGTAAGAGTGGATTATAGAACTTTCAGGTATCTGTACACACCAAAGTGCCTGTTAATCCAATAGACGGCTCTCGGAGCTCATTGCCAGAGTTAGTCCTAGTCAGCACATGCAGCTGAGAAAGCTAACCAGTCCCATTCATCTGAAATAGCACCTTCACTAATAAGTCTCAATGGTGTACAATTTCAACACTGAAGTTTAAATGTATATATTCCATCTGAGATAACAGAGACCAAGCATCAGTACATTAGTACTCACTGACTTATTAACAAGAACTGTTTGTAAGACTGCAAACACCCTAGTTCATGGAAGCCAAAGGACCAGCCTAGAGAGACGACAACATCAACACCATTCCCCCCATCCCAAGTCTCTCCCACACACCCCACTCCTAATGTTCACACAACCCAAGGTCCCAGAGCACAATCCCTTTGGGAGTTTTATCAGACCAGAGCCCCTGGACTCTGGCAAGATGCCAAACTGCTCCTTTATTCACCTGTTGAGAGGAAACACAATTTTCACTCTGCAAACACAATGCTGAGAATCCCACCATGCCAATAGAAACATCCCACTTCCACCCCAACTCTCTCTTTCCTAAGTTCAATTCAAAGTGTTTCCAGATCTTAAATAAAAAGCCTGATGAAATTGAACATATTTGTATATACATACCTCTGAAATAATAATTTCACACAAATGCATCCTGGTTAACCCATGCTTTCTCCCCTTCTCCTTGTATTCTAAAGACCGTGGGTCCTTGGCCCTCCTCATTGAGCTCATCTCATACAGTGTGCTTCTCTCTTTAATGCATCATCATCCATCAATTCTCCCTCAACAAGTGCTTTCCTACCACCTGTCCCCTTGTGTCTACATCACAGAGCTCTGTTCCAACCTCTTCCACACTGCACAGGTATCATGCTTATTGCACTGTCTGTGGTGAGTCCTGGTTAACAGTGCTCTGCACAGGCAGCCCTCCGTAAGTGTCACTAAACATTTAAAAATATTTCATAGATTCAGTTAACATTTTAGTATAGACAAACCTTGAATAGAGTGCCTACAATTCCAAATTGCCTTTAGGGGAAAGAAGTGACTTCCTTAAGGGGTTTACATCTCCTTTGAAGAATGAACTAAAATCAGAAATAAGAAGAAACACCCAATTTGTAATTTAACTTAACAATTTATTTTTGCTCAACTGCACATTCAAGTTCAGAAACAAGTTTCTCTGCTGATGTCCATTGAATGTAAGTGCTACCTTTGCTTCAAGGCTCATTTGTTTTTGGGACTTCAGTAATTTGTCAAAAGTGAAATCCAATCAATCAACATGCAGTCTAATACACATTTTCATAAAGTTATATGTATAAATACATACAGAAACATCATCTCTTGTAGCTATGTAAACAGATAACAGTGAATAGATGGCTTCAGTTCCCATCACAGTTCTAACCTTCTAGAAACTTCTATGAAAGAACTCTCTTAGATGGTATATTTATTCATGAAGTATGCACACATCGTATGTCTATATCTTACACTTTGTTTACACATATACATCAAGATATTTGCATGAGTGTTCATATTTTTAAGCCAACATATGTAAGTAAATCACATAGAAATTAGAAAATTTAGTAACTATATCTACAACTGGGAAGCATAATCAGGCATGCTATTTAAAAACCGTATGATATAATTCAGTCTCTCCCAAGAAAATATGTTTTATATGACAGTGTCCTCATAAAGCTCAACAAAGTTTTAAAGGAATTTATACTGAAATTTTTTCCCATGTTCAAGAAATAATATGTAAAACCATCTAACCAATGTTTAAATAAAAAAAGATTCTTATGACTGCACCCTGACAAGAATCTAATTCTCTTATTGTCTATCATTGTAAATACAATAAACTAATTGGAGTTATTTCCAAAGATAATACAATCTTCTAGTTGATATCCTATTCATATATTAACATAAATAAAAGACTAGTGTCAAAAATTAACCATTATCCACAGTGTTGATAAGCTAAAATAAACTTTAAATTTTCAAAAATATGGTAATCATTATAACCATTCCCTCTACTTTTCAGATAATGTTTTACTGTTTTGATGGGTCATTCAATAACTAAAACCAGTAATCAAGGAAAGCCATAAGGTTAATGTTTCAGGGTTAAATGGACTAAAAAAGTATAAATTCACAGTAAGTATTACCTTGGTCAAATTTTTCATAAAAACGTGCAGATCTCTTGCCAGGTGACACCATTTCTTTGGGCTCTGTGGGCAAGGAGAAAAGAGATTAATATAAACAACCTTTCTTTTTGCTCTTTAAGTGCTTCCTAAGGACAATTCCTTAGTAATAAAGGTCAGAAAAGAAAATCATTCAACAAAATATTCAGCAGCTGCCTTGGGAACCATTTGCTTAAATGCCAAATAACTCCCCTACAAGTCCCCACGCCCCTGCCACCAAGAACCTGGCTGGTTGGGGCAGGCGCTCTGCCCAGTTCTCTTTGCCCCTCTCGCTTTTCCCCCTGGAAGCAAGACTCCCACTTGAGCAAGGACAGGCATTAGCTTCCATCACGTGAACAGATAAGATGAAGGCATGTCGAGACAGAGCACTTACTTGGCATACAACTGACAGAAACAGAATTTGCAATTATCCAAACTTACTTTCCTCCCTCCCCCAGAGAGTGTGGGTCTTAAAATATTCATGAAAGTTTGGTTGTTTTACTATTCCGTTTTTCCACAAAAGTGATAAAATGAGATATTGTGAGATGACTCTGTAAATAATTGCAGATTACTCTCCTCATGAGATACAATTTTAGAGCTTTTCCTTGCTGCAATGAGGAGAAAAGTACCTTATAGAAGTCAAAAGTTATGAAAACATATCTTATTCCCTCCCTTGGCATATAACAATCTTGAGGAGTATCCCATAAAAGATTTTATTGCATCATTATCTGAATGTGCACACTGGAGGATAAAAAACTCAAGACTGAGCAATAGCTTTCCAGAAAGGACCAACACGTAGATAGGTGAGAAATTTAAATCCACCCTTTAAGAACGTTATTTGAAGAAACATTAACAGTTAAAAGCAACATTGACTAATTGGCTATAGCAGTCATTATAAGAATAGTCACATAAAGGCAATCACCATATCTTACTAACTGTGTGAACTTGAGCACGTAAATTAAACTCTGTAAGCCTTCATTTTTCATCTGGAATATCAGGATGATAATTATTTCTACTCCATGGAGCCGATAGGATAAATAAATGAGATAAATACATATAAAGGACATAGAACTAATGAATGTTCGCTAGTATAATTATCAACATCATTATTACTCCTGTTTACTGTCATTCTCCTTTTTAAAAAATGCGTCATGTGTATATTGCATTTTCTGTTTACCACCCAAAGTCAAATCTCCTGACAGATATTTGACCCCATTTTCGTTTACTTGAAACCTACATAATTTTATTAACCAATGTCACCCCACTAAATTTCATACTGGACATCACCTAATTGGCCTATTGAGTAACATTACTCTAATGATGAAGGAGATAGAGGACTTTGGGGGAGTGGAGAAAGAAGATTGAGTGGTGGGAACATGAGTAAGCCTCCAGCCAGTTCCCTACACTGTCTCCTGTCCATCTTGCTGAGGATTTTAGTTCAGAGAAGCCCTCCAAGAAGCCGTGGTCTACTTCAAGAATTGCTCAAAGTAGCTGACCCTTCTCCACTTTTGTGAACACATAGTCCAATTCAGAAAACACCTAGTGGCCCACTACTGCAAACCGAGATCCATAACCGACTTTAGAGAAAATGTAGTAAAGAAAAATGACTCAAGAGAAACAGTTCAGTGGAAGAAACATCTGTAGACAATTATGTCAAGGAATTGGTGAAAATACCATCATTAAATAATGTACAATGTGCTAAAGCAACAGAAAATACTGAAGAACATTATGCAGTCAGGAAAGGAGGATTTAAAAATTATCTTTAAAAAATTAATCAGGACAGCTGAACTCGTACACACTGGCTTGACAATCAGTCTTGTTCGGTGTTAGAAAAGTCACTAGAGGAGGACTTGGAAAGACTAACTCTGACAGGCAGGTAAGTAGGGGTGGATCTTTCCAAGAAGCTGGGACAGTGCATTTGAAGAACTGGAAGGACACAAAAACATGGAGACCAGATGGCCACAGGGCTGACCTGCAGTACCCACTGTGCTTCTTCTCAATCTCCCATCAAAATTGTCACCCTACGTTAAAAAAAGAAACACTGGGGTAGCACCACTTGGAGGAAAGTGGACCAAATAAAAACAGGCATCTCCAATAGTTGCATCCTTAATAGAAATGATTGAGAAACACTGCTTTAGACTCCAAACTCGTGCTGTGTATTTGGAAAGAGCATGACACGTGACTAGAAATAGGAAGGGGGTTCGGCTCACACCAGCAACAACCCCTAACCCCAGGGGGTTTATCAAGCAGAATCCCGTCTGTTGTGGGTTGAACTGCGTCTTTCAGAAGACATGAAGTACCACCTAGTATCTGTGGAGGTAATCTTATCTGGAAGTAGCCTTTCCAGATGTAATGAAAAGGTAAGTTAGGATGACATTCTATGGGGAAGAGTAGCCTCTTAATCCAATATGATATGTGCCCCTATACGATGAGACACAAATTTAACTCTCCATAGGAGAGTGTCATGTGAAGACAAAGACACAGAGGGAGAGGATGTGACTAGGCAGGCAGAGACAAGAGCGATGCGTCACGAGCCAAGAACTGCGGCAAGCCCAGAAGCTAAGGGGAAGTCGATTGAATAGATAATCTGCTAGAGCTTTCAGAGAGAACGTGGCCCTGCTGACACCTTTATTTTAGACTTTTAGCCTCAAAACAGAGAGAAATAAATGCCTCTTGTTCTAAGCTGCTCTGTGGTAATTTGTTACAGCAGCTCCAGGAAATTAACGCAGCATCTGTTGAGCCAATAAGAACTCGGCCTTTATCTAAACACCCTGATCACTTGGAGCTTTAAGAAAATCTTACAGTTACATTAAGTTACCAAACATATTCTCAATTTAGAAATTAGAATAGCCAGCTACATATAAAAACTGATTTAAAGGTTAAATTATCCCCCCTCCAGAGTTGGGCTCTGCAGCAAGTCAATGAAGAAACTGACAGCCAGTGAAGAGCACCCTATACTTCTCCCCCAGGTCTTTCTTCTCCGACCAGTTGACCCTAGTTCCAAGCCTCCGGAACATGGGAGTGGAGTGAAAGACGGCAGGTAGAAAAAGAAGAGGTAAATGGAGTGGGAATGTCTCTAAAGCCGATTCACAGCCAGTCTTTGTTCCTTCTTCCCCAATCACTGGGGACTTCCAGTCTGTTCTGCCTTTCATGTAAGTTGTACTGTCTCACTTTATCACTTGCTGCAGCCACAGCTCCAAGTGACACCTCCAGCTTCCATCTGCTGAGACAGTTGGGTCCCTGGGCGGCCTAACGGGATGGGACCGTGACTGCCTCGTGACAGTGTCCTCACACACAGGGTCCACAGCCATTCCACAGGGAACTCTGACAAACCGTGGGGAAAAGAGGCGACTCCCAACACAGCATCTCTACGTTGGGCTACTGTCATTGCCCACCTGCTCGTCTCCTGGTCTTTAGATCCATCAGGAACCAGCCCAGTGTTTTAGACACCCACCCCCGGACTTCACAGGACACACATTACACCTCACCGTGTATCCAGGAAGCACTTCTTTCCAGCAATGAGAGGGGGAAACAGGCTAACACCCCACACCTACCTCCTTGTGCATATTCCTAGTGGACCCAAAAATCTGTTGTGATCTCCAAATATCCCGCCCCTGTTTGAGTATGAATGTAAAAGTTATCAAGCTCCTATTAGGGAATGTCTACAATGTGATCTATTTCATAAATCACTTTGATATCTAATATCTCTTCCCTCAAGGGGTCAAACTTTTCCAATTTTACAACCTATAATATTAGCTTTTATAATTTGAATTTTAGGAGACCCATGGGAGAAGCAGCTGGAAATTGCGTGGGATATCTCCTGGATGCACCGATGTTGTTTTTTTAAGTTTCCTGATCATTCCATGAATTTTACATTGTCCTTCAATATAATCTGTCCCACTGAGTCTGGCAGGGTGCTAATGGCTCCCATGTTGTCCCTCCCAGTTCCAGTCTCCTTGCCTATTCCTCCTGGGCGCGGTTCAATTTTTTTCAACACCTTTCAAATTTACCACCCTGTCAAAGCTTTAATGCCAACGTCCATACAAAGTGATCCCCAGGTTCTTTGGACCCGGTTGATTTATGATTCTCTGACCTTGTATAGCAATTACAGTTACTGCCTGTAATTTATATTGTCTTCCTGGGTAGCCTTATGCTGTCACGTCTCCCCAACGATACTTGAAGTTCCTCAAGGGCAGTTATTGCATCTTCCGCCTCTCATCTATGCCCTGCCCCTTCAGTACTTAATTCAATGTTTAGCACATAGGAAGGAGGTTCCTAATAAGTACACACCCACTTGCTATGTGTTAAATACCTATTAACAAAGATAGAGCTAACTCATGTGGCATAAATATCTTACCATGTCCTATGATAGAAACTGCATAACAAGTCCTTATTGTCACATTTGAACAAACTAATATGTCAGATAGGGAAAAGGCCACGAAGAAATATGAGAGAGGTATGGGCCATCCTATAACAAGGATGCCAATATTTGGAAATATATCCATAGGTAAGGCTTTTGCATTTCTCTGGGTTTGACCTTGCCTTTCTGATGGAGGTAGCACTTTCTTCAATGAGAAGACAGATAAATAAAATAGGAGGAGGAGTCTAGAATTTGACATCCAGCAAGAATTCTGGATCCATAGTAAGACAGTGGTTTTGAATATGAGGCTTTCCTTAGGAAGAAAGGAACTTTTAAAACCACAAACTGCCATAACATAGTAGAAGTCAGACCTAGAGAATTATTATATCATGTAGTTTTGTGATTCTAAGAATGGAGAAAGCATAGGGGACAATGTAAAAAATACAAAAAACTACCTTGGGCTTTAAAGTTGTGTGGATACGAAGACAGAGGAGAAAGAGGGAGAATATCAAGTCCTCATCTCCCTTCCCTGAGTTAAACCCCAGATGAACCTGGGGACAGGAGCATTAGGACTGGCTGCCAATTTCAGGACAAAAACTGAAGAGCACTTCAGATTCTCCGAGAAAATATTACTCTCCCCCAAAATGAGGTCACACGAGGCCCACTGTCCCCAAAGTCACAGTGCCAT